CCGGGCGGCCGCCGCTCCCGGGCGGCCGCCGCCCATCGCGGCAGCCTCGGGGCTGAGGCAGCGCGCCGGCCTCGGCAGCGGTTTGGGGAAAAGTAGGTGAGGTCGGAGCTGACCCGCCTAAACCCTGCGGGTCCCTAATTGTTGTCACAAGACGCGGGATTAGTGCATTGCTGGAATAGCTGTCTGTTTACACTGCGGAGCCCCGCCGGCCGGTAAACACTTTCTAATTGAATTCTAATCACATTCAAATAGCTCCATAACCAGCCTCAGCTGCAATTCATAAAACTTTAATTGCCATCCATAAATCCTCGCCTCGCCGGGCGCGGAGTGTCCCTCGAGTCCGGGCGGCCCCTGCCCCGGGCGGCAAATTCATCCAGCGGGGCTGAAGTCGCCCCGTCGAGGGCTGAGGGGATGAGAGGAAGAAGCATCTCGCTCAGGAGATGGGGCGAGCAGCAACTTTTCAATATTATTTATCCATATTTAAGCTGAGGGCGTTCGATGTGCACGGGAACTTCTCCGTGTCCCTGGCCGGCCCTTGTGTTTGGTGACGGCCTTTGAACGCGTTATTAAGCAACCGATTCTGTTCCCAGCCTTTCCGCAGCCCCCGGTAATGAAGCGTATTCTGTATTTTCTGCTTTAGAGCACAATTTCCTTTTCCCGAGTCGAGGGGAATTGGATAAGCGGCCGTTTTTCGACGCCGCTTCACATCTGCCAAGCAAGAATGCAATCGCCCTTCTATTAACGATAAGTCTCTTCTTAAACTCCCATAAAACAGGTCATTGGAAAATCATATAATATGCTGCAAATACCTTGGCTTTTTAATGCAATCTGAAATGCTCGGGAGCCACCGAGCGCATTTAGCTGTTTATCCAATTTCACTTTGAGTGATTGCTTCAGCAAACTTGGTGGAGATCAAAGAGTCCCCCCCTGACATGGTCGCCTTTCATTAGCCCCGCGCGGGCGGGGAAGTTCCCTTGGGAGCTTTCCGTCCCGATACCGTCGGGCTGCGAAGTGTCCGGATAGCTGGAGGTTTTGTGCGTTGAAGTAATCGCCAATTTGGCGAGATGCTCGCGGGTCGGAAAGGGGAAGGGAGGCAGAGAGCGGCTGCCTGGCCCGGCGGGGACCGCGCGTGTCCGCGCATCACCTGCCCGCGGGGCGGCAGGCAGGGAAGCAGCACGGTCCGGAGGGGGAGAGCCCCGCACACCCCCCGGCAGAGACGCCCTCGGGTGGGTTTTGAGCCCCGCGGCTCTGCTGACAGGGGGATGGATGAGCCCGACATGCGGCGGGGGGCGGCTGCCCCCTCCTCAGCTGCGGTGATTCAGCCGGGGGCTGGGGCTGCGGGCGGGCAGGCGCTCGGAGCCCCCCCGTTTTGCCTCTCCCGCCGCTCGGGAAGCCGAGGAGATTTAGAACTGCGAGGCTTTCAGCTATCACGTGTTTAAATAGTTGATATAAAACCCCGGCGCAGGGGAGCCAGGCGGGGGGACTTTAAGACCAGCCCTCTCCGGGGACCCTTTTGTTCGCCTCTCAAACATAAGCACCTTCTCGCCTCGCCAGGGCTGCAGTGGCGACTTGGCCGAGACGGGAAAGCAGCAGAGCCAGCGGCGGCGGGCAGCGCTGCGCAATGTCCCGCTCTTTCTATGTCGACTCCTTAATCATCAAGGACTCGTCGAGGGCGGCTCCGTCGCTGCCCGAGCACCACCACCACCACCACCACCACAGCCAGGACTTCTTCCTCCCGCTCGGCATGCCGGCTCCCCTCGTCATGTCCGTGTCGGGCCCGGGCTGCGCGGCCCGCAAGAGCGGCGCTTTCTGCGTGTGCCCGCTCTGTGTCACCTCGCACCTGCACAGCTCCCGCGGCGGCGGCGGCGG